CTAGAGAAATCCAGACTCATTTCACAGCCTGCTGGCCAGAGCAATTTTCTCATTTTCTACTTGTTGATGGATGGGTTATCGGCTGAAGAAAAATATGGACTTCACCTTAATAATTTATGTGCACACCGGTGAGTGACTGTGTGTTTTCTATCTAGTAGTCCTGACTTCAAATTGTGATTGCAATTTAGCTGTCTTACACTGTCTTCTTACATTTCACAGAAGAAATGGTGAGTGAGGGAGAATTGTTGGATACTGTTAGGTTAGAACCTTGTTTATAAAAGGTTATAGCTATCTATTAAATGTTTAGGTGGAGTTTTATGTGCATATGTATTAACTTAAGTTTCTATTTTACTAGCTTTCAGATCAGAATTTTAAAAATTAGTGCATGTATAATCTTTTCTATTTATGCAGGCTATTTTGTACATAACATTAGGTGTGCATTTCTAATCTTTGTCTGTCTTTTGAAATGCTGCGATATGTTATTGGAGTAATTATTATTCATTAGTAAGAGCTGAAGTTACATAATGGATTAAGGTGAACAATGCACGTAAATTGAGGGGCTGATTTTGTGCACTGGGGGCAGAAAGCTTTGACTGCAGGGTGATAGTGGAAGGGGAAGGCCATGAAGAGCATGAGCTGAAGGATGTTTTCTCAGCATGTGCCTTTCTGCCAGCTGCCTGATCCCATGCGTTTCCCCCGCCCCCAACACACACACAAAGGATTGGTCCAGATTTGGGTTAGGATGAGAACTAAAAAGAGTAAGGGGGTAAACTCCCTTCAGGAGAGAAGCTGGGGGAGAAGGGAGCAGGAGAGAACTGGATCCTAATCCAGACTCTCTCATGAATCCACTGGTCGGGCTGGGGCACTAGACTCTGAAAGAGATGGATTCACTTGTGGTATCTGCTTATACCTGATTTATAGTTCATTGGGTGTTTGTTATTGGATTCTAGAAGAATGGTATAAGATTGCATAATTTTGAGAACTTTGTAAGGAAAAATAAAAGATGAAATAAGAGAAAACCACACACACACACACACACACACACACACACACACACACACACCACACACACACACGAGGGCTGCTGACAGCCAAGGCAGTGGCTCAGGCCAAAGTGATGGGGAAGAAAAGAGATGGCTGAAGGTTTTACCCACAAGCCACCCTCTTGCCCAAATAGAGGCTTGCTTCAAGCCACAGAAAAAAATACCTTCAGTTCCTCTCTACCTTGCTCTGTGGATTTGTCTTAATCTATTCTGTTCTGGTGGGGGAGACCTGTGATAAACTGGTCAATAGGAGTTTAGGTGATAGGATGAAAAATAAATCCGGGGTGGGAAACAGGGGCAGAGCTGGGTGTCTCGGTGTAGATGGGTTCATCGAGGGGGGCTCCTTTCAGGTGGGACCTGATGTGCAGACTCCTGAGAATTCCTGGCAAGATCTGGGTGGGTGTCCAAGGCAGATGGGAAATGCACAGGGGCTCTGGGACAATGAACCTGGTATGTGAGAGCAGCAGGAAGGCCAGGCATGTGACAAGAGCTGCCCGGGCAGGTGGGAGGATAACTGAGACAACCTGGAGCAGACAGCCATGGTCAGAGGTTGGGATTTCATCCCGAGTGTGACTGTAAGTGACTGGGGAGGTTCTGAGTGCAGAAGGAAATCGGTTTCCACTTTGGCGATGACTCCCTCTGTGGAGATGTTCCTGTGGTGGTCACAGCTGGATGCAGTGAGCTGACTTCCTGGTATGCCAGCTGGGATGTGGGGATCGGACTGATGGGTAGCTGTGTTGGGAGCGGTGAGCAGTGGTCAGCTCCAGGAGATATTCCTAAGGCAGGAGGGTTGGGATTTATGGACAGATGGAATGTGGGATGTGAGAAAAGAGATGGGTCAAGAAGGATTCCTAGGACTGGCCCGAGCAGCACAGAGCATGTTTACAGAGATGGCACAGCTAGGAGAAGGGGTGTGTGGGGAGGAGCCGTGGGGTCAGAGCCCCACCCCTGCTGGTGTTGACAGGCGAAAGCGGAGACACCTATTAGACCAGGGAATAGAGGTGCGAGGTGGGATCTGTGAACATGAGGGACTCCCCAGGGGATGGGCCCCAAGTCACCTGAACTCTAAGAACTGGTTGCAGAAGCAACAGGATGCATCTGTCCCACTATTGCTGCGGGGTGTGACTGATGGTGGGAGTGGGGTTGGGAAGAGAATGCATTGGCCGTAGCTTAATTTATCATTACATTACTAAGTGCTATCATTGCATTGCAGTGAAAACGTTACATTGAGGGTTCCAGATAAAGTTTGTCATGTTGAGTAGGAGAAAAGTAGTCAAGAAGTTAAAAAGACCTTATAAAATTATGTTTATTTAAAGAGCAAGACTGTTTTGGAATTTACTGTCCCAAAATACAATAGGAATTTAGAAGGAAAAGAAACTATTCATAATGAAATATGGTAGCCCAGGCAAGAGTGACAGGAAACGGAAATTCCAAACTTCTAGGACATTAGAAATATTTTTCTACCAAAGTATTTCATAAAGGAGGAAATCAAAGCCAGAGACATAAAAAGCTGGGACTGAAGAGACTATATAAGAGAAGTAATGATAAAACCCATTACCTTGGGCCGGCCCGGTGGCGCAGTGGAGAGTGCGCCGCTTGGGAGCGTGGCAGCGCTCCCGGCGAGGGTTCGGATCCCATGTGGAGACCGGTTCCCACTCACTGGCTGAGCGCGGTGCGGGCGCAACACCGAGGGTTGCGATCCCATTGCCGGTCCCCGGTACGGGCGCGACACTGAGGGTTGCGATCCCGTTACCGGTCAGTAAAAAAAGACAAAAAGAAAAACAAAACAAAAAAAAAACCCTCGGTACGGGTGCGACACCGAGGGTTGTGATCCCGTTACCGGTCAGTAAAAAAAGACAAAAAGAAAAACAAAACAAAAAAAAAAACCCATTACCTCAAATTAACTTTCTGTTTTTCTACCTGAACATCTCAAATTTAACATGTTGTCCTGGAAGGGGGAGTGCCAGATTGGACACCGGGGGTTGCATGTTGCTGGGGGCCTGTGAGGAAGAAACGTGTTTTGGGTTTTGAAGCTCACAGTGGTTCTTATAAACAAAAGCCCAAAACTCATAGCAGATAATCGGGTTGAGGATCGGGTCTGTGTCCATGCGTGTTTGTACATGTGCACACGTATGTGTGCTTGGCCTTGCAGACATAGAGCCACTGAAGAATAAAAGTCAATTGTCTAATCCACCATGCAAAGAAACAATTTAACTGCTTGGTCTGTGGTTTAGGCGAGTCTTTTGAAGTGCATAAGCGTGTGGGAGAAAACAAGGATTTCTTTATTGAGCTTCAGTTCTGACATTCATTTCTCTTTGCAAGAAAGAGTTTGGAATCACTTAGGCTATTTAGAAAGTCAAACAGTCAGGGGCGCTCCAACAGGAAAGAACTCAGGAAAATCATGAATAATTCAATTCCCTTGAACAAAGCGGTTATTTTATTAAAAATGTATTATTAATATCTAATGGGTGCAAAACAACATTTTCCAATAAAAATATACACCACCACTTCAGATCCATAAAGATATCAATTGGAACACTTGCACAATGACAATTCCAGAGAAAAAATGTATTCTTTAACAGTAAAACCAGCTGTTTTGCAAGTTACGATGTATTATGTCACCGTATTTTTGTGATTTGTGTTGTGTGGATCTTCTCACTTTTATAATGTTGATGAGGCCTGAGGAGTTCATACTATTTGATATTTGAGTTTGGATTGGGATCTGATCTTTGTTTAGTAATTATGTCTATGAAGTATCAAAATTTGGCAAATAGTGTGGCTTGTTTACAATAAGAAACGTAGGTCTTAATTTGCAAACTTTCTGACCTTTCACAAACTGTTGATCCTTCTGAGTCTCCTCCTTAACATTGGTACTCATAGGTAAAGGGAATCATTTTTGTAAAGTGCTCAAGACCATGCTAGTATACTAGTATAGTTATATACTTTTGTTAAGAGTACTATTATTGTTATCATATGTACTTACCTGATTTTCTTAAAAAGATATTGACCTTTCTGTAAAGTAGAACAAACCAGCCTCTATGTTACCATCTGGATGTCTCTGTTGTTTTACCCATGCCTGAGTGGAGCTTAGAGAGACATCTTAATGAAGTATGTTGAATCTTGAGGCAAACATTACAAAAAATTATAAGCCTGCTTTCTTCAAATGCATCCCATCTCTTCTTTATTTGTAACGACTCATTACCTACATGAAACAAAATAAAATTT